GCTGAGATTTTTGCCCTGCATTCTCGTCTGTGTATAGTGGGCACTGTGCCTCGTCGCTGTGTGTGGGAGCAGGGTCAGCAAGCTTCTGCTGAAGGGGACAGGTAGCAAGTGTTTTAGGCACCGAGGCCCACACGGCCTCAGCCTCCCAGATCCCCCTGCGCAGTTACAGAGAGAAAGCAGTTGTAGGCAGTACAAATGGAGCAGCTGTGCCGATAAAGCCTTATCTGCAAGAGGCCGGCCCTTGGCCCACAGGCTGTGGGGTGCTGACCCTTGTTCGAGGGGGTCCTGTGTTTCCTTGTGTGTCTTCAGCCAGGAAAGCCTGCCCCGGGGACCAGCACCCTGTTGGCAGGTGCTGCTGGCGCTCGCTGTCTCAGCAAAGCAAACCCCCAGCCCACGAGTGGCCTTGCAGACACTCACAGGACTTTAAACATGGATTTCTTATGCGTCCTTTGTCTCCATGCTCATGTTTTGCCTTCTTCAGAGCACCATGTCATCGCAGGAGGCCACTTGTCTTCCTGTCATTTGTGCGGTTCCCAGCCACAGGCACCGCTGGAACCGCTGCCCTGGTACCAGGAGGGGACAGTGCTCGCAAGACCTTCATGAACTGTCACTGCAGCTGAGTTCTCTGCTGCCGAGGAGGGTCCCTCATTTCAGTCTGACTCATTATGATTAGAGTCGATTTGGAGTCAGAAGGGCCACACTCAAACCTTGGTCCCGGCACTTGCTAAAAGCATGACCTTGAGTAAGATAGTTGACCTCGGAAAGCCTGTTCCCTCCCCTCTAACATGGAGATGAGGTTTTTAGTCTGTTTGGAGCATATGGCATGGAACCTTCTATACAGAGAAGACTCTGTAAAGGATGGCTTTTATTGTTGCTGTTACGATTAGTGCTTGGCTTAACCAAAGTGTAACAAATGAGAAGAAAAACAAGAATTCTATCAGATGAAAGCCTGGCATGAGTCAGAAGGGTGAGCCAGGCTGCCCAGGACAAAGCCCGGAGGGACGTGTGGGGTGTGACGCCGGGGCTGCAGGCGTGCAAAGCTCTCCATCGCGTCTCTGACGCGTCTCCCGCTCCCAGGGACTCAGGAATGCTGTTCAGAAAACAAGCCATCAGGTCCTCCTGCTCTTCTAAGCCTCCAGCTCCGCCTAGGTTTGCAAGTATCTGTTCCTTTGGGGAAAGCTGTTATCAGGTGACAGCAATTCCCCACTCTGATGCCACCCCAGAAATTGTCCCTTGAGCGGAGAAAATATGTTCCTTATAAAATGCGTGATCCTTTGATCACGGAACTTACTCTTCTAACCGCAGAGCTGTACGTTTCCACCAACATCTGCCCATTCCGCTCCGTCCCCTCCTTCCACCGCCACCCCCATCCCGCCCCGGAAGCCACATGTTACTCTCGGCTTCTACAAGTTCGGGTTTCTTATATTCCACATAGAAGTGATATCATCCAGGATTTGCCTTTCTCTGTCTGATTATGAAATGATAATTATATAACGGGATGGGGGTGCCAGCTAATGCTATGTCGGTAATCATTTTGTAACACCTTAAACTTATACTTNTCCCTCAGTGGGGCCTGATTTCAGGGTGTGACCACACACGTTGGTGAGCCACGTCGAGGCCAGCGCGCGTGCTCAGCCTTGCCCACCAGAGCCTCCAGCCCAGACCTCTCCTGCACCCTTTCCTATGAGTGCAGTGCCTGCTGCGTCCCCCACCCGGCTTCTCAGCAGCGCCCAGACTCAGCTTCTCCATAGCCCGGACTCACCACGAGCCTTCTGTGGCCGTCCTAGCAAGGAGTCACTACTCAGGGACAGGCCCACCCAGGTCCGAAACGGGGCAGTCCTGGCTTCTCCACCTTCCTCGTCCCCAGCGTGTTCCGTCAGCAGGTCCTGTGAGTCCTCCTGTCTGGATGCCATTAAAACCCGTCCTGTCCTCTCCGTCCCTCACACCTGGATTTCTGTACTGCTGCCTGCTGGGTCGCCTCCCTGTATGACCCTGGGTCCAGAGTGTTCTTTCTGCAACTGTGGGATCTTGCCAGCTTTCCTACGTAAAGCCCTCTCACCCATGCGCTGCCTTCAGGATAAAGCCCAAACTCCTTCAGCCTTCCCAAGAGGCTGGCTGTCATCTGCATTTTCATCTACCCCTCCCAGGCTGAGAGCCAGGCATAATGAACTACAGCCAGTTCCCAAATGTCCCAGCCCTTTGTCACCTCAGCACCTCTGTACCTGCTGTCCCTTCATCCAAAACAGACCCAACCCCGCTCTCTGGTGCCCAGTGAAAGCCACCTGCCTTCAGGAAGTTTCTGCAGAACCCGA